GGCGCTGTTAACTTCCAGAAAAACGGGCTGTAGGCGCCATCCTTTCTGCATCATTACGCACTGTTATGAAGATAAACTTCTCGCTTGCATTCTTTTAAATGTCAGTTCTGTAGGATGGCTCTTATCTTTTATGGGCCATGAACTGATAGTTTCGCGCCCCATATACATTGTTATTCTCATTTTTTCCTCCCTGTCACGCACAATTGATATGCTTCACAATAGCGCACGCGCATAATGCTGAGACGTTATAGCCACTGCGATTCGTACTCCGTCCCGGGCAACTTTTCTCGTCAGCCGACTCGCATGCGTAGCGCACGTTTGTTCGCCTGCCTTTCAGTGGTTAGTATAGGCCATTGCAGCGCTTAATCCGCGATTGTTCGCCGATTGCGGCTATCAGCGTCAGCAGAGTGTGAGAATGCATGTTCATTTTTCGACTGTGATGGCTGAATTCAGATGGTGGGACATCGTAACGCTATATTATGTACAGGAAACGAAGACCGGATGAAATGAAATAACGCAGGCTATTATAACTGCGCTGGTGTTCAGTTTTCCTCTGGTCTTATAGCGTTGTATCCTGCATAAAATTATGAATCAGTCAGCACAAATGCATATCCTTCCGTTTAATGTAACTGCTGCCGATTCCTCACAAGCGTACCGTCTTCATACCCCGGCGTTGCCCGTGCCGCAAACTTCCTTTCAGGAGGCATGCATTCGCTTTCCTTTTGCCTTTTGTAAAAAAAAAAAAAAAAAAACAATCAACGCATCGTCTCATGTATGTACGATGGACTGCGCTTACTGTTTAATCCAAAGAGCACGTAGTTAGTTACCACATGAAGTGATCGAATCGGAATATGCAACTTAACAGAAAAGCTTTAAGATGTGACGACCGCAGATGGCAAAATTACTCCTGAAAAATGTATTACGAAAGTAGTGTGTATGGTAATTACTTTTGAAAAGTAATGAAGTCATATTAACAATTTTTTCATAATTCGTGCGCAATTAACTCTTGTATTATATTCACATCTGATCATACATTGAAATCTCGAATCTCTTATAGTTCAACTTGCGACACGCGAGGTTTGGCAATCAGATTAACTGAATTTAGTATCTTTCCTCGTCTTCTTGGCAATTTCTTTAAAGCCATAATGAAAGCGGTCAAAGATTATATTGGTCCGAGGTGATTAGGAAGGTAATGAGTAACTTTATTGAAGCTTACTCGTTTGACACAAATTATTACGTAACTAAATAACTTGCCTACACAAGTAATCTACAGCATGGCTAATTGCAACAAATTGAGTGTAAAATTGAGATTTAATTACTTTAATGCCATTACAACCGAGTGTGATGATAATAAGTGGGCACAGCGCTTTCTCTCGTGTCCATTGGTGCCGGCCGGCACCTCATTCAAAAGCAGTACAACACAGATTTGCGCCCTGCCCCCCCCTCTAAGACGAAATCCTGCTGACTCCCAACACCAATGCCTGTGTCGAACGTTGTTCAGCGCTCCTCCTGAAAGTTAACGTGTAACAAGCTCGATTTTCATCTCTTCGACAATACGCGTATACATACTCGTGCGTAATTACGTATACGCACCAACTGATGTCTTCCCTGTCGGGGTGCGCAGTCGCTGCTGACGGTGCTGCTGGAGAACGTGGCCAACGGCCGCTCGTCGTGGTACGTCGGTTGGCGGCTGGTGATGACGCTCGGCTGCCACACGTCGCACGAGTTCCGGTCGCTGCGGCAGACCAAGTTCCTCTGGCCCCGGGGCGAGTGCGGCGCCCTGGACGTCCACTCGCACTGCCGCGCACTCGCCCAGAGGCTCATGCGACCGCAGTGGCAGGGATTCCTCACCAAGGTGCGTCACAGGTCGCGTCACAGGTTCCGTCGATCTTGGGACGCAACAGGCAGTCATCGTCGCGACCAACCCCTTTCATGTCCGCCCCGCCGCGGTGGTCTAGTGGCTATGGTACTCGGCTGCTGACCCGCAGGTCCCGGGATCGAATCCCGGCTGTGGCGGCTGCGTTTTCAATCGAGGCGAAATGTTGTAGGTCAGTGTGCTCATATTTGGGTGCACGTTAAAAAACCTCTGGTGGTCGAAATTTCCGGAGACTTTCACTACGGCGTCTCTCATAATCATATGGTGGTTTCGGGACGTTAAACCTCACATATCAATCAATCAATCAATCAACTCTTTTATGTCTATGTTTTTTATGCCTGCGTGCGGTTCTGCGCCGAGAAAATCTTGAGCAAATTGTACGCGTTTTCATTTGTGTTTATGGAGAGTTCACTCGATCACAAGAAAAAAAAATAATTGTAACAATACTTAACGATGAATGTACATCACAATAAATGATTAAACTATGTATATTACTGGGTTTTTCCGTGCCAAAATGACAATACGATCACGAGATATGCCGTAAAGGGAGACTCCAAGTTAATTTTCAGCATTCAAGCTCCTGAATCTTGAGTCGCAGTTCGTACATTCCGTCCAATCAACATGCTGCCCCACAGTGGCCGGGCATCGAGCCCGCGTCCCCTAGCTTAGCAGCACGCCTTTGCGGATAATAGCTAAATAATTAATAGTTTTGCTGTAACGTATACGCAACTCCCTCCAGCGTATACCATGTATCCTGTACTGTCAAAGCTATTCGTCGAATTTCCTGCGCTTTAGTATAAAGGGGAAGTGATTTTAAAAGAAAAGAAAAGAAAGTGAGCCCCTTAACTGTCTCTCGGGGGGAGGACACCTCAACAGTAGCTCACGATGGATGGGGGTAGAGAAGAGAATGAAAAGATAGGATTAAAAGGTAGAGAGATAGAGAGGAAGGGGAGAGCGAGGCGCAGGTACAGCGAGCGACGCAAGTAAGGAGAAGACAGGAAAGAAGGACACGGTTGCAGGAGTCCGAGGAAGGAAAACCACCGGCGAGAGCTCTTGTCGGCGACAAAAGATGGCGGTCTGGCCACACGTACGCGTAGCAGCGGGTCAGCGCCGCACCCTCTCCCTATGAGGAGATAGAGATGGAGCGTGGTTTCACCCAGCAACGTGCATTCAACGCAGCACCGCGTAAAAAAAAAGTACCAACTCGCGATGAAGTATTTCAAGTGATACGTGTTGTCAGTGGGACCATGCCACCCCAGAAAAAATTCCCAAGCATTTTCCCGAGGGTGAACATGGTTAAGTGCGAATGCACGGGGTGATGCTATGAGGGGTATTTATTAATTCGCACTATTATATTTATTATTCACACTATGGTGCCTTTATGGTGTAATGGTTCCTGGGAATCGCAATTTGATAACACGGGGGAGTTTACGTTAACTCACTGGCGAATGCCAACGAATTTTAACTTTACTCCCCCTCACGACCCGCTCTCGACCGGAGACTGAGAGAGAAGGCGGGCGCGCGAGAGGGAGGGGTGCGCGCGCAGCTGCAGCGAGCGAGGAGAGCGGAGGAGCGAGCGAAGGGGGAGGGGGTATAAGGCGCGTTACTGACAGCGATATCAGCGTCGCGTCCGTGACTTATTCGGTAGAGCGTCGCGCTGCGGCCCGCCAAGTCCTCTTTCTTTTAAAGATAGAGAGAAGACTGCGGACGCCGCCGACGGCGGTGGATGGTTTGGGGTCGTTTATAAAGTGTATTCACACTTAAAAAAAAAAGATGTGTGTGTGTGGGGGGGGGGGGGGGGGGGGCTCCGGGTGTGCGTGAACTCGCGATATCCACCCCAGTTTTCTAATCGAATCGCATGGAAGGACTTTTATAGAGCCAAGCATACGATTTGTGAAGCGCGCGTCGAACCAGTCCCAGTCCAATATTCGTTTGCATGTGAGTACACACAGTAATTAACAGCTGTGGCAGTATATTTGGAAGACGGGAGATGAAAGCGATACCAATTCAATCAAACGACTATTGGATTTGTTTTATATCGCGAACATTCGCGTGAAAATCTCGTATATTGTGTTCTGTTCACGTATATAGTATTTTGTATTCGGTGTTTCGAATATATTCCGCTCGTCTAGCTTTCTGAAATAGACGTCACATACACTGCAGGTTCTGCTGTCGCCAGACGCCGTATTCGAGGTGCTGGGAGTCGTGAAGCGCGTCCGCAACACTTTGGAGGAACGGCTGCGCCAGGCCACATGGATGGACCCCGAGACCCGCGTGCGCGCCTTCACCAAGCTCGAGGCCCTGCGCGAGCAGCTGCCCAAGTTCTTCGTGTTCGACGGCCGCACGCCCGAGTACGAACAATACGCTCGACTGCCGGACCTGACGCCCTCGTTCCTCGACAACTGGCTCGCCTTCAGGTAAGCCAAGGTGTCCAATACGGGTTGTATAGTAGCAGCATAGCCAATAAATATTTTTATTGGAGGTATGGAAGGGCTCTGGTAGCACGTGACCTTCTCGTGGATTGCGGGAGCAGTGGGAAGGTGGACAGAACCGAAGCGTCTTTTATCATGTCCCCCCCTCCCTCCAAATCTCCTTACTTTAGCTGCTCTAATTAATGACCCTGCATTATCTTCTAACCATGTAGTATAATGCTGTGTGAACGATTGAACAAAGACAAAACTCAATTTCAGTTTGACAATACTTTTTGATATTTTTTTTACAAATAGAACAAAGGGCGTACATCTGCTCTCTAAAGGACACTGGTACCCTGGATCATATTGCGCAAACAGACTTACACATTGGCATTACAACAATGACATTTATTATGCGTACGTCACTCACAACGCATCTACTTTCGCACGAAAAGATCAGGCGTACGCCATCAGAATCGAGAACTTAAAAGTTTGTTCTTCAGCGTTCAAAGCGAGCGCCGCTGGGCGTCGGCAGCGAAGTGCAAAAGAGGGGCACTTGCCCCCTTCAAGCCACACCAGCACTTGCCCCCATCTAAGCTACTCCAGTGCTCCCCTTCCCCCAAACGTAATGCATCACGTGTTTGCACCCCCCCCCCCCCCTCAAGAGCGAATTTTGCCGACGCTCATGAAAGCGAGTTGAACTGTCTACAGGCATGCCCTGGGTCCCGGCGTGGACCTGCCCCGCACCGCCAACGGCTCCCAGGTGCCGGCCGTCAGAGGCGAACCCGACGAGGAAGACCTACTGCACTTCGAGGTCGCCTACGAGGCGGCCGCCAACGAACTGCGTCTTCACGTGGACGTGTTGGCTCGCCCCGTGTACAGCCGCGGTGCGCCCGCGCCGATCAACTTCGGCGCGCTGGGCGCCATCGTGGGTCGCGAAGCTTACGCACGCGTTTGACCGAGAGGGTGCCCTGGTCGACGCCGTCGGCAAGCCCGACATGTGGTGGTCTGTCGAAACGAAGAGGTCAGCGCGTGAAGCACGCTTGATTACGTTCGCGTGATCCATGTAACGCATGGGCTGCCTTGTTGCAGATCACAGAGTTAAAGATATACAGCTATACGAAGTTAGTTATATCGGTGATTTACTTCGTTACACCGGAGCTTCGTTGAATTGAAATACGACTATTTAAGCACAATTTAGCCTCCGAAAGAGTCCTCATTTTTTTTTTTTTGACACAGGAAGTGCAGGAATAAAGTTTGAGTGAGACGACAGTGAAAAAAAGAAAGAAAGAAAAGAAAGAAATAATGAAAGCATGAAAGAAAGAACGAAAGAAAGGTAACTTCAATGACACGCAAACAAATTCTCCATCATGAGATCCGGTGACCACGGCGTGACGGTGCGTGCCAGAAAAGGTCCATTTCACAGTGGTCAAATTACATGCGTGAAGCGGTGAAAATACTTCGTTGTCTCAAGAATATCGCTGTATTAAAGTTCATCATATCTAGGTTGAAGTCTATACGAAAGAAAGGTTAATGCATTTTACCGAGGATTGAAACTCGAGATTGTTAGTCTTCCATTAGCACGCTTATTGCGGGACATGAATGACGCAGACAAGAAAGCAACGCAGTAGCACACCGAATGCAAGCTGTCAGTATATTATTGACAAAATAACGTGACCTTATATACCTTGGCACAATCAGCATAGTGCATGGCAGCAAGAGCATAACTACAGTGATAACCGACCAACGAATACATGTAGGGCCATTCAAATACACTATAAGAAAAGGATGCATGTTTTCGTTGATTCGTTCTAAACGTCTCGTGTTGACTTAGAGTTGGTGGCATCAAGATGAGGCCTTGTCTGTTTCCACACATAGCAATATTGAATCACAGGAAATAGAGAATGACTGCTACTTCATTCGTAAGGCTTCATTCGTCTCGGCTGTAGCGTGGAAAGATTGCTAAAATATGGCGCGAGCTGAGTCGTATACACAGTCTGCGTGTCCGCGCGCATGCGTACTCTCATAAACGCACTCGCGGATGTTAATTACATTATCGCGTTCGTAGGAAGTACGAGATGCGCGAGCGCTGCTTCCTGGGCCAGCTGACGCGTCACGTGAACGACTCGACGACCGGCAAGCTCCTACGGCGCGTGGTGTCCGTCAGCTCGGGCCTGCGGCTCGCCTTCTTCGCGCACAAGGCCCACGAGCTGGAGAGCGGCAAGCACGAGACGCTGCGCGACATGACCGCCATGTCGGGCGACCAGCTGCTGTTCGCCAGCTTCTGCTACACGCACTGCCACAGCGTGGGCAAGCTGGGCGAGGTGCTCGACCTGCGCTTCGGTCGGCACACCCTCGGCGAGCTGCTCTGCAACGTGGCCGTCGCCAACATGCTCGAGTTCTCCGAGGCATTCGGGTGCTCCGACGACGCCAAGATGACCGCCGCGGTCAAGTGCCGCATCTGGTGACGATGCCGCGGAGAAGCAGCGACGTCGGCGGCGTCGTGTCGCAGCCATTGAGGTCCGCTGCTTTCGAGTCGGCGTGGCGACGCGAAACTAATTTTAACTGTCCACATCGCTCTTTCCCATCTTCTCACGCAAAGTCGTCGACATCTTCGTTTTCCGCTACTTCCACTGACGTCTAGTTTTTTTGTCCTTTCTATATTTCGCCCTTTATTTGCTATCATGCGTTTATTGTTTCGATGAAAATACGTCTTATGACTGTGCATTTGCGTATGTTTTAATGTCTTCGCTTTGCAGGGCACTGTACGGCACGCCACTGCCGTTGAACAGTGTGCATTCCTAAGTATTTTTATGCATAAATAAGCTTAGTGTTGCACCCGTTTGCACTGCTTGGCTGCGTGGTTCAACTTATGTGTTATAAAATTGAAGCCTATACATTCTAAAAAAAGAGCGAGTAGAAAGGGTGTCTTATTGTCCCACAACAATAGTCGTCATCTACATTGCGTCCCATCCTTGCGCTATCGCCCCGCGACCGGTACATTCCGGTCACGATCGACATGCCCATTAAGAGTTACATTGCATTCTCGATAGGAAAGTGGCCGGCGCCGAGTTTTCAAGAAGGGATGCGCACGTAAGCCATATGACGATTATTGTTGTGGGACAAAAAGACACCCTTTTTACTCATATTTTTTTAGAGTGTATGATAAAACGCCTGTTATCACCCGAAATATGCTCGCTATGCTGTTGATTCGATAGTAAGTCGCACTAGCCACACATTGCGACGAGCGCTGGCGCCGGCCGCAATCGACGCGAAATTGTTTAAGGCCGTCCGCTAACATTGGGCACTGCAAAAGATGGCGTCGTTTGTCGTCTGAAAAAGCGATCCGTGGGCCGAGTTTCACAGAGTTTTCGTTGATCATGACGTGTCGATGCCTGTTTTTAAAGCGCGGGTGCGTCAACGTAGCGTCGTAGCTTTATCCTTGAAGCGCTATCAGCGTCCTTGGGAGGCTTCATCTGCGAGAGGCGGCTTCGAACAGGTATGAATGGGCCGTGTCCGTCAGCTGATCGCTACATAATGTAAGCGCATTTGCAGCAGTTGTCGTCGATGCTGTGGTGTTCACTTTCGTAACGCCTAGGAATTTGCCGGCGATGGGACTTCACTGCTCTTATTTACAACTTTCTTAAAAAGCGCTTCGGTAGACTTTAGAGCCGTGAATTTTATTCGCGCTTGCGAGGAGAACTCGGATCGAAGCCATCGTAATGAGTTACGTTTCCATGGTGACTCACTGCGCTTTGTAGCGTGTACTTTGTTATTAAAGTGCACTGGGTTTCGCGCTGTAGGCGCGCGCGTATCGAGTGTGTGCTTGAAGTTGCACTACCCGTAAACGACGACGACCTCTTGAGGTGTTCTCCATGTTGAATGTTTGTTTTGTTTAGTTTAGTTTGACTTGTGTGAGTTCGTTCCGTTTTCCATTTCTCGATGTAAATTGCTGTTCGACGCTGCACCTGTGCTATCTCTGTGTGGTCGTGTGTGGGTTTGTAGCTTTTGGAAATTCGATAAGATGTTTCAGGATGCAAAAATTTTCTCCGAGGCGTTTGGAGAGCGCGTGGCATTGACGTGTTAAATGCATAAGCTGCTCTTTTGTGGCGCGTGTGTCATCGAAAATCTGGCTGTGTGCCAGGCGGCCGTGTCGTAATACGACCACGGGCAGGAGCTCCGTGCGGACAGCACACGTATTTCGCAAAAACCTGTGAGGCAAACGTTGTAATGACCACTGAGCATTGTTAACTCTGCTTCGCTCGCGTTGCGTACTAATTGTGTTATTGCGCCCTGCTCTCTCCCGTGATTGCTCACCAACGCTTCTATGAACATGCTCATTTTCGTTTAGGGTGTCCTCGCGTGAATCTCTGCGTTACGATCGTACGAAATTCGTTCCACACACCCTGCCACACACCCATATGCTATTTTCGTAGTCGATGTGTTTAACATATATTTAATTTTAGCTACGCGACTCATCGCTGCTTATCGTCGCAATCATGCAGGTATACATACGGTGATTTTCTCAATTAAACTGGCCCACTGGTTGTAAACAAAGTGCTGCGATAAGAATGGCGTATCCGCTTATCTATACGGATAACGGCGAAGCTTCGATTGTTCCGTCAGTGTTACGACAGAGTGCCTAACTAACGGCCATACGATGCGGTCCTAGGCTCGTACGAGCCGAATCACGCTGGGCTGCAGGTCGTTCACCTGCTTTCTAAAACGCTAACGCTATTGCCTGAATGCGCAGGATTTTTTTTTTTCTGCATTGTTAGCTGCGTGGGTCTTGTATCTTCGTAGTGCATTTGATACTCCACCGACTGTGAAAGCGCAGTTTTGTTCGATTCGCTTGCTCCAGGTAGTGTTTCGATGTGTGCAGAAAGGTTTTAATTGTCTGTGAGCCGTGTGTTCGGTTTCTTCGGTGCCGGAGTGTACTCGTATAACGGGCGGTATGTGTTGCCTGTGCTCGGATATGCCAGGAAGGTTGAAAAGGATACCCGGAATATGGAGGAGGGGAGTGTCGGGGCAGTACGGAGCTATGGTGTCGAATAGCCAATATGCTTGCGTTTGGGGCACTAGCAGAGCTTTGATTTTGCCTTTCGTGTTACGATAGTGTGCCAAACGATGCGGTCGTAGGATTGCACGGGCTGAAAGGAAGAAAAAAAAAACGGACCAATCAAGCTAACTGTATGACAAAACAATGAGGTGGGAAAATGTAAAACTCAAAAATGATAAAAAAATATTATAGGTCCATCAACTTTATTACTACACAAACCGCTTTCAAAGTAATTGAAACGGAATAACACGATCGACCCCGGAAGCTGGCATCTGTCGGTTAGGGATATGTGGCAGCTTGGGCTAGTTGGTATGGCATGACGAGAGTTATAGCGCAAGAACAAAATGACGACACAGAGACAAGGAGGAGACGAAGGAACACTCGTGTCCTTCGTCTCCTTCTTGTCTTTGTGTCGTCGTTTCGTTCTCGCGCTATAACTATCGTCGGCTAAGGGATACCCTGCTATGGATCACAGCTATGTGTATACAATTACCTTTCGAGTACGTCAAATCTTGAAAGGAAGGTGTTTAATGAGAAGAAAGAGGCGAGGTCGGCCTGGAAAGCGTGTTTCTAGGCCAATACTCCCACGGTGGCAAGGGGAAAGGGAAATAAAGAGATAGAGGAGGGCATGATGAGGGGTGATTGTGATATAGCAATATGAGTTACTGCACACCCTGTCCCCTTCAGCGTTTGACACTCGCAAAGTTCTCTACATTAACTACACCTTAATTACCTACATTACCCAAACATGAGTGTTTTCATACATGCTACGAGAATGCATTCGACTCTGTAGACATACAAGCAGCTGCAGAAACATTACATCACCGAAGGATACCCGAGACTCGAGTACTAGTCAACTTCTACAATGGCTCTTAAGATGCAATAGAACGATTGCCATAGAGATATATAGGGGCCAGGCAGGGAGTTTGCTGCTTGCTTAAGTGTTCAAAGGACTAGCTTGCTTAAGAAGAGAGGGGATGAAACGTTAACGAAAGATGGGAATAGACATTAGCTGAGCATATCATGTCAATCTAGGATTTGCAGGTGTCAATCGGCAAAGTAGTGCTGAAGCGGTAAGTGAGGTGTAGTTAGAGACTATCTTTCGGGCCGTCTTTCATCGATTTCGTTCAATCGCGAACCTGCTTGCATGTAAAATTCGCTCTACGGCGCTTTCATTGTTGGAAATAGTGGCCTGCCCTTTTACCGAGACGCATTTGCAGCTGCCTCCCCCTCCCCTAATTGCGTTTGCGCTTCCTCTCTCTCTCTCCTCTCTCTCATAGGCGTATGTATAACAGAGACTGTCAGATTCTGTAGGTTTTTGTATGCGGTTGGCTGTTTTGTTGATTCGTGGGGGGGGGGGGGGGGGGGGTGAAGAATCGCTTTTGTTTGTCGGCGCTTTCGTGCGCCGAACTACGCACGAAAAGAAGGGAGGGGGAAGGGAGGGGTGTTTGTGTGTTTGCTGCTTTTTCGGCCGTGTCCGTGCTATGCGGATATGTTCGTCCGGCTCGCGACTTCAAGCGTCGCAGATCGTTGCTTTCAGGGATGCGGGAGTCGGGCAAAAGGGGAACACAACGGCTTTTGTGGCGCAGCCGCACGCGCAGTGCCCTAACCTCGGATTCGGGGAAGACAGTTATGTGCCCAACCCGCCCTCCATCTCCTCCTTGACCGCGACGTGGTCAGTCTGTAGGTGGTAGTACGTGGTGCTGGCCGAAGCCCGGCGTGCGAGCAGTTTGACCGTCCTCGTCCACAAGCACGCCCGCGAGCCAAGAAAATAACGTGAGTTCGCCGTGTTCGTTTGCCGGTCGTAAATTTTACCTCGCCTGTCGGTGGACAGCCGATAACCACCCTGGATTGACATGGCGGTGTTTCGCCGGCCATCGGGGCGTTACCATAAGAAGGGCTTTTTGAAGAGCGTCTATAAACTTCGGTGGGGACTACTATTTATAAGCTGCAAATCATTTATAACTGTGAATGTCGGAGCTATATAGACATATCATAGCAAACCCTTTGTAGCAGTTTACGAGTATAGTTAAACAGCTTGTGACTATTCAGCGCATCAGCTAATGCATTAAAACGGCGAGTTTTCGTGGCAGCTCACGGTTAATGTATTGCAGTGGGTTATGCGCGTTTAGCAGAGTTACGAAAGTTAACTGCGAACAGTTTGTAACTACGAATGGCGAAGGTATAGGCATGTAAGAGAAAACGATTTATGTCAGTTTACCAGTATGCCACGCAGCTTTACAACTGCATAACTTAGAGTTTTTGCTATAACAGAAAATACATGTACTGCGAGTTTTTGTGACGGCGCACTGCTTTTAGAGGAGCACACCGTGTGAGTTGTATACAGGTGCTCGAAGAAAGTGCGTCAGCTTTGTAACCGAGAATACGCATGTAAAAGTAAACCGTTTATAGCAGCCCATGAATATACTATTAAGCAGAGTATACAAGCAGTTAATAGCAGTATTAGCTAGACTTTAAGCGCATGAAAATACAATTATATAACTGCTTGAGAGGGACCCAGTGACGTAACCTTCCGTCGTTTCGTAAGCGTTACGCAAAACGTTTTCGTATAGGCATTGTCGGTAACACAATAGTTTACGGCGTTTCGTAAAAAAAGGACCTTTTCCACGAGTGACCGCGCGTTACCAAACGCGTGAGACACTCGGCG